CACAAAACTGTAGTTTTTTACACAAATGACACATAACTCTATAGGCTAATATTATTATGCATGTTTTAAGTCTGACTGAATAAAATAAGTCTTGTAATAATTTCCTATGTTGCGCATTTGCACACTTTTGGCCCAGATACTATTTAGTGAAGATGTGTCTCTAATCATTTTTTATCAGTTTAAAATTGTATTGTAGCACCGGTGGGGCGCATGTCCCAGCATGCCCCACGTGCATGTTGTGAATAGCCATTGTATTGTTGTTGTTATTGTTAATGGTTATATTCCTTATTGTCTCGCGCGTGTTTGCCCGTGTCTTGCGTGTACCCTGTCCGATCCTCGTGTGTAATTAGCTTCCGTAAATCTCGCACCATGTGTGTATCTTAGAGTTCAGCGTCTGACAACCCTGTGTTTCTCATGAGTAATCGTTTCTGTGCTCGTTGGCTGCTTGATGTTAGTGATGGGAACTCCGGCTCTTTTCAAAGCTTCGGCTCTTTTGGATCGGCTCCCTTTAAAGAGCCGGCTCTTATGGCTCCCGAATGCCAGATGCCTCAGCTTAGATGGGCTAATGCGATTTCTCCTCTCCGTGATTATTTGTCCTGTTTTTGAGAAGACTCTTTCTGAGGGGACCGATGTAGCGACAATGCAAAGTCTTCCTACCATTACCTTAACCAGGCGTGGGTAGACTGCAGCCTTGGCCTCCCACCAGCTCAGTGGGTCTTCAGCTCTTTGGATGAGGGGCTCCTCAAGATAGGACCTCAACTCCAGCATAGCATCAGCTGTGGGATTTCTCCTTGCAGTGTCTCCTGTTGCTCTTTCGTCAAAGAGCCTCCACACAGCAGAAGCTTGTGGTTCCTGTGAACACGCCCCTGCTCCAATTTCTTCCTCGCTGTCTTCGGAGCGTCTGCCCCCCTTGCTTCTTTCACATAATGGTACGATCCTAGTCCGATGTGTCGTTCGTGAACGAGCCGACATTATGAGCCAATGTTCTGTGTGCCCATATAAATAAAGTCCCACCCCTACCGAATGGGTAAATTATGACAGCCCCTGGCCAGCCCAAAATGTGCGTCGGCCCACCGGCATTGCCCGGTATGCCAGATGGCCAGTCCAGCCCTGTTTTGTGCTATGGTATAGGCTGAAACCTGCGGTTATTATTAAAAAGAAAATGCGGTAAACGTAAGACAAACTTTAATTTGTGTACGCCAATGAATATTACAGTTTTTCTGAATTACTAAAACACATTTCCTAAAATCTCATCTCTTTGTCTCAAAACACAAAACACAAACTCTAAAATTCAAGCTACACTCACAAAACCTTCAACTTGTCTTGCTAAACCAAACATTTGACCCAAATCTATTTTAACTTTACTCAAAATCAAGCACTACTGTCAAAAACCACACATAACCAACCAATGTGCAAACACAACTTAGCAACGATTACACACTACATAAATAGATACAAAACACTGTGGGATAGCTGGAAAATAATATTTATTTATTCATTCATTTATTCTTGTACTCACATATAAACAAAAAAGAACTGCAGCAAAAAAAGTTTTATATAAAAAAAAAAATTATATATTTTTACAGCTTATTCAGATAATTTATTCTGCCTCAGCATCACGCCTCTGTGCTGGGTCAGGCCACAGGATTTCATTCACATCACATGCTATGTTCTCCCTTGCAAGGCAATGAGGAAAGAATCCTTTAGCGTGCCGAATCCAGCCCTGGCAAGATTCAACTCCTATCTCACCACATGCTCCATTCATTGCTTGAAGTAGATTTTCCTGTGTGTAAGGGTTTTGGTCGTATACTTTCCATCTACATGCCGAGAAAAACTACTCAATAGGGTTTACAGTTTTTTCCAATTGCTAACACACTAAAATCTAATGTAAAGCTCAACTGCAAAAACTGGCACTCAGAGAGCAAAATTTCTCCTAACATTTGTTATATTCAAAACACAAATCACACCTTTGAACACAATAAGCAATTAACTTGACTTCTTTTGCATTAGAGTGCACACACTTTCCTACAGAAAACACAGGAATCTGACACCAAGACACTTTTAGGCATTTCCAAACACACCCATTCAGAAAGCCACACCCATGTGCCCATTAGGCTAACACAAACGTCACCTGGTCAAGCACTTGACTGCTTATTAGTTAACTCAGAAATCAGAATGTGAGAACTATAAATCTCCACAGATTTACCAACACTAAAGAACAATGGAAGCCGGAGGGAGAGGAA